TACTACTATTTATATTAAGTCCTTTAACACCAAGAAACACTAAGACTAGATGTCCTGTGTGCAGGGAAGGAGGAAAAAGACGTTTGCTTAGTTGAAATTTTTACAAATTTCATAGCACACAACTACACAGCACCTTGCAATCTAAGAATTTAACATGCTTCAACGGCTGCTCTGAATATCCTGACACTCAGCAAAAGTGCAACTATCTGGTCATTTTTAAGTGGAGAATTTTTGGTGTTAGAATGTAATTAGATCAGAAAACTAGCTAAAAATGTTTTTCATTTACAAAACTGAAAGCAAATGGGCTATTTCATTTCTGCAAATGGTTTAGTTCAAGTTGTCAAGATGTTTAAAAAACTCCAAGATCAGGTTAATGTTGTTGAGTACATGATTCATAAGAATTATGTGAAGGGGAGAAGAGGAAACTGTCACTTTCACTGCGCTTAGATGCCAGCCCTAAAATAAGCTGCTTGAAACAGTTGTCAAAGGAATTTCAATGACAAAGCCAACCTTTATCCCTTCACAGAGGACTTCAAACCTCCTTTTATAGCATAGATTACTATATTTGGCCAAACCTAGATAACATTAAAGCCATTATCACTGCAGTGAGATACTATAAATAGCATTAGTAAAGGAAAACGTTTAAAATTCTGCCTGGGAAGCATGATAGATAAACAATATAATCTATGCATATTTTAGGGTTTGTCTGTCAGACATAATCTCATTCATGATAACGTGAACCAATTTAGTTACATAATTAACCTTGTTGTTTACCCAAAGTTACTTGCATAGTCTTGGGAACTCCTTTCCTGATTGCATTTGACAATAGACTTTATATTTAACACACATATATGTGGGAAAGGTCAAATCACACTCTGAGGTTCTGGATTTGTCGAAGTTAATTCTCATTCAATAAATCAGGACAGGAAACTGTTTTGTTCTCTATTAAAAGGTTCTGTTAATTTGCATCAAAAAAGAGTGTATTAAGCCCAAACATCTTCATCTTAGCTTCATCATCACCCTAAATTCTTCAGAAGAACATAATCCTGAAACAAATTTTGCTGCCAAAAAGTGCCAGGAAATTATATTTTCTTTGTGGATAAATTAGTTTCTGAACTTTACTTTCCATAACAATAAGCAGGAGATTATGAACTCATTCACAGGAAGTCCTGATAAGGCTGTAAAAAGATTTGCTTTTACCCATTCAGGTCAAAAAGACCACTGTATTTTGCATAAATACATCATCTTTCCCCAAACAGAGAGACAGCCCACCCTCCAAGAGAAATGTAATACAGTAAGCAATATCACGGCAGAACTGTCCCTTATTAAGGGATCACGGCTGTGTTTTACAGACATACTACTGGCACCTAAGGAAGATGTCTTTTCTGCACAGGTTTTAAATTGATTTATTAAAAAAAAAAAAAAAGCCTAGGAAAAAAAAAAGAAGCATCTAACCTAGTATCTAAAACTAAGCATATCACAGCAGAACTGGTCATTTAAAGACATCTCATTTTAAAACAGGAACAGAAAAAGCAAATGGTAACTTTACATAATTTTAGAACAACATTTTCTGCTGGTAGAGTGGTTTGAGTTCGACTTTTAATTAAAATTAGAAGTGGTCCCAAAAGCCCAGACCCAATCATCCCTGAAAATTAAAATATTTAATCTTGTCTGGAACAGAATTTAGCAAACCACTTCTCCCACACAAAATGTCAAACCAGGCTGAGTGCATGAGGCTGAGCTCCTGCACCTCCCGAGTTCAAAAGGCCAAAGTTAAACCCGGCTGGCTGGAAACCTCCAGTGTCAGTGAGGCTCATGATTTCTACATTGTCTGTGAAATCAGTGAGCAATCTCCCCCTGAAGATCCAGTAAAAATTAAGATCTCAGGCTCCAGGCATTACGATGGCAATCAAACTTTTAAATCAATAGGTAATGAAAATTCCTATCCATTATACTCTCATTTATAATCTACTCTTTTAACTAATCTGGGAGAGTGGGAAAAGAGAATCACTGGATACAGCTGATGGAGGAGGGAAACCCGCACCTCTGCAGACACACAGACCTTCCCACATCTATGAACAGTGGAGGAAATGCTTCTACTCATAAATCATCAACAGGAAGCCACATTCAATGGCTGGGCACAGCACCCTTGCACCAGCTTCACGTACTTCTCAATTGCCTTGACACAATAACCTTTAGCTCATAAAAACTTAGATCTTATGACATTTTAGTACAGTAACAAAAACAAAACAAAATTGCTTGCAGTGTTCTCATCTCAAAAGCCTTCCCTTGAGCATTTCCCCACGAAAAGCAAGGAGAATGCTTGCTTTTATTCAGCCAGTTCATTAATAACACATCATTGAGATGCTACCCCCCACCACCAGTGTGTTTCTGTGTGCACGTAAATGCTTCAAAATCATCCAGTCATTCCCACTAGAGGTGGTTTCAGTGCACCCAGGCAAAAGCAAAGGCTCCATGCTGAACTCCTAGTGTGAAATGAGTCATTTGTTCCAAATCATATTTCCTTTTTTCATTCGTACTTAGCTCTATTCATTTCCCTAAAGTACATCAAGATGAGATGTTCCTAAGTTACCTTCTATTTGCTCTCAGTACGTAGACTATTTTATTCCTATTTCTCATCTCTGTTTTCCAGCCTTTTCCATGATCTCTGTGGGCTTTGATTTAGGACTTTGTAGGCACAGACAAAAAGGAAGATAGGTTGTTTCCGCTTACAAGATCTTTTAACCCCTCAGCCTCCCTTTGCACTGGAAACAGTCAGTATCTGCAAGGGCTTGATTCCTAAACACTCATTACCATGAGGAATAAAGTTAAAACTACCTTTAGGCTGCAGAAGATAATCTGTTATGGAAATGTTCAGATTATGCAATAAATACGCAAGATGTGAAAATTAAACATTTGCAAGCTTCCCGTTAGCTACCCATCAGGACAGTCCAGGATGCATATATTGGTGCATATACCCATTTATGTGTACATGTTTCACCTTTCATGTTACTTCACAGCCATAACTAAAAATCATAGCAAACTGTTTACTCTTTCAACACTCTGGGTCTTGTGTCATTTTTTCTCGTATCTTTTGAGATCTCCATGTCTCCATAGCAGCCATTATCTTTGGGCAATTTTTTCCAATCATAATCATTCCATCAGATTCCCCTCTTGCTTTAAAAGTGTTCATTTATAAATTTAGTTTATTATTGGTTTTTTAGCTTTTGTTTGTTTAGTGATGTAGTTAAAATTTGAAACAAGTATAATCCTAAAGAGATAATCACCTTTACTAAGATTTGACTGTACTGAACAACTTTCAACCCTGCCAACAATGACACATGGAAATTGATGTGAAAGACTATAATACCATACTGACTAGTCTCATGTCATATCTATCAAATTGCATTCAGTTTGAATATCAAACTGACCTTTGAGTACTGGAAAAAAGTAATTTCTTTATTGAGAAAATTCACAAACGGCATCTATCACAAGAAATTTACACACCTTCTTGAACACGCTCAGTGCCATTGAGGAAAAAATGAGTGTGAAGACACAAAACCTAATCTAACCTACTGTAGCACATACTCTGCTGAGGGCACTCTGTATGGCCTCTTCTCCTCACCTTCACCACCATATGTATTCTTTATTTTTTATCACTGGACCATTACTGTCTTTGATATCTGATAATGGTTTCGTCTTCAGTATTGCTAATGGATCTTTATCTGTTTACTGTGTCATAACCAAAATATGAAGAGCTGACCTGAAGTCCATCCAAGCCAGCACACATATTTACACTGATTTCAGTGCGTTTTATATCAAACTCTACATTCAACAGTGAGCAACCTCCTCCCAATTTTCTGCTTGTACATTACTTCTCCCCACTACCCTCAATGCTAAGAAAATGTCTTCAATTGCTTCAGAATTTCATCTGAATTTCACCGCATCAACTATTAGAGATTATGCAGGGTGCAGTGTATTAGAGATTTAAGAAATCCACTTTTATTTTTGAGCAACAAGTATCAGAAAATATAATGCACCAACATACTTAAAGTTACATAAAAGAGAAGGCTATGCAAGCAGCTTGCAGGAAAACCTCTTGTTGGAAGGGGAGATGGAGAGGGGAAGAAGGGAAGCTCTCTGTTCCCAGTCCCTGTGTCTCAGTAAAAGTATTTATAGACTGTCAGAGCTCTTACACAGTTCCAGAACCTGGCTTAGTAGAGAGATAAGTGATCCCCAAAGAGGTCAGTTACAAAGGCGAAGATAAAATGCTTCAAGACTAAGTTAAACTTAACTTTGTAACTGCAGCTCGTAAAGATATAAAGCAACTAAAGTACCACTTTATTGCCTCTTCCCTGGAAAGCGGACAGAGGGAACCTGGTGATGTTCAGAAGCTCATGGGGCTGGACTACCCCAGCAACTTGGACTGGGTTTGATTTTTCATGACTTGCCAGACTGGATGCCAATTGCTTCTGCTCATCCAGGTAGACTAAGGAGCAACACACAACTGAGTGACTGAGCATGTGCCAAGGGCTGTCGCTAATGGATCCCCTGCTTGTTATTCCAAACTGACAGAGACCACTCCAGTGATCTTAACCTCAGCTGGGCTCTGCAATTCATGCCATGGAAAGCATTGCCAAACTTTAACTTGCATCCCGTCGTGGCTTATCAGAAGGGCACTTGTAACCACCAAAAAATAACTAAGCCCAAATATACCACTTTCTAAAAACCACCAAGACTCACTCCAGGAAAGGAAGAAAAAAGAAAAATCTAAAGAAAGGGATCAGTTAAAGTGACTTCTCAAAGGAAGATGTTGCAGGAATGTGTCAATCTCCTCCCGAACGATAAACAAACTTTTAAAAGTCAACTGGTGACACTTTAGAGTCTTTGCACTTATTTTGCATTATGTGTCACTGTCATCTTCATCCCTGGGTGTTAAGCACCAAGCACTAGGAGGGTCCCTCCTCCCCAGCAGCTGGGAGACGGGCTGCTCTTCTTACCTGACATTGTCATGCTTCTGGATGTAGATCTTATGAAACATCATATCTTCCTGTTTGGCATTAATGTCAGCTTTCATCTCCATGGCAACATGTCGAGGAAGTACAGAGAGCAGGAGACGCTCCTGTGGAGTCAGACAGATGAACCAATTAAAATACCTACTGCCCAGTTAACAAACACACTTTGTTCCTTACTGGGGAGAAATGAGTCATCAGTTTGGTGAGAGATGAGTACAACCAAGTGAAATGGTCTCCATAAACCCAGCAGCTGATCCTCTAACAAGTCATATGCAATTCTGTCCCAATCCCACAATAAGAATCCAATGATTTTAGAAGAAAAAAATATGATTTTTCATCCCAGCTGCACTGGACTTGTGATTCATGGTTGCCAATTCTTGCACATGAAGGAGCTATGCAACCCCAAAAATGCCTGTGCACCACTCTTGGAAGGACTCTGATAAATGATACCAACCTCCCACACAGCCTCTCCACACCACCATGAAGTCTTCCTTCACGTAACACCAGAGGACTCATACCCCAGCAACCTTGGGCACCATTTAAAATTCCTTCCTTTCCTATCTAATCATCTAAGCACATTCCCCCAACAGGCACAAACCTGTTCTTAGCAGCTGAAAAGTCCATAGGAATGCCCTGATAAAACTAGCAGGAAAAGTTAGCGCAACTATACAATGCAGTGTTATACTTCTACACTTAAAACTGCTATTAGTGCCCAACTGCATTAAGACCTGTAAACACACCCACTTACCTACAACAGTATTTTCAATAACCACTTCTGTCATCAACAATTCATGGCTCTCCACCCTCCCTTGGCACTTTTGTTTACTGATAATAGCCTTAGTGTGACTTTCATAATATTGTTTTGTAAGCTGCTCCATAGAAAGTTTTGCATGCTAGGCAAAGATTGGTTACATGACAAAATGAAGACTTTCTGGTAATTTTCATAAAACCTCACACAAAAGCCTGTGCTTGTTATTATTCTAAATTTGGTGGCAATTTCACGCAGAAGCTATAGAATTTAAATCTGCAGGTAATATGTGCCCCAGGGAGGCATTTGTGTATTCCAGGAATCACACCTGAGAAATTCTGCCCAGACCTTCGTTTTATTCCCACTCACACCCCTCGCAGTTCAAAAGAAGTTTTTGCTATGGCTGAAGAAGGTGGGGAGCATCTCCTTTGGGATCAGCTCCACTGTGGTCTAACCTGCAGGCAGTGCTCTGGAATAGCTGAAGAATCCCAAAAGCCTGTGACGCTCTCATCTTTTATTTTTCTTTACCTCCAGTGAGCGAAGAGAAGGGCCTTCGTTCCTGACGACACATGCACAATGTGGCGTAAACCAAGGTCCCTAACCTTATCTAACAGCTCATTTATTCTCAACAACACAGGGAAGAGCAGGGCTCAAAAGCAGTCCTGACTCAGAGGAGTCAGCAATCCTGTACTAATT